TGTTTTCAGATTTTTCTAGTGCTTAAACAGGTTTCTTTTACTTTTTAAGAAGGAGGGTAGAAAAAAAATACTAGGAGAACTTTTTTAAGAATAATAAGACCATGCCTAGGATGAGATGAAAAGAAAGAGCATTTTTTTTCCTCTTCTGTAAGTTTTTGTCTATATTCTCAGGAAACTTGTTGCAAATAACCTCTTATTTTTCACTCTGTTGCAAAACTGACCTAGGTGGAAATGGGAGGGCATTACTTCCCATATCAGCTCGTGATTGCCAAGACTCCAGAGGGTTTCCTGATGTTAGCTCTGTAAGACCAATAAGGTGTTTAATGTTAAAAATTACTTAAATCGGAAGCTATTTCACAACAGTTTTGATACAACTCAGAAAAAAGCTGGTAATTACACTGTGTCAGCACAGATCTCCGGTTGCCTTCAGCTAAGGGGAACAGGGCGCTTCTGTCCCCTTCTCCACTGTCCCTCTTGTCGCTGGCCAAGCAGGATGCAACAGCAAGTGCCTTTGTGCTCCCTGGTTTCAGGCTGTGCTTGGCTCCTGGGTTTCTGTGCCTTTGGCTGCCCGGTGCTGTACAGAAAGGTGCCATCCCTGTTACACAGTGCCTGGGAGGGCGGCGCTGGCAGTGGAGACGGCAGAAGTCTGCTAGCATAGCTACCGCAGGGTTATGCTCTGCTAACTTTTGAGTTTTGCAGCATTTTGTGCTTTAAATCAAAACGAGGGCGCTTAATGCAAGTTTCCTCTATTTAATTATAGCAGCCGTATCAGTATGCATAATGGGCTGCTAATATATTACGCCGGTGGACGGTAGTATTGCTAGCACACAAGAGGTGCTGACTCAGATCTGTCCACTGTCCTTGATTTGGCATCCTTGTCTTTCCTCAGTTTAGTGTTTTATGTCACTAAGGGCTTTGATTTAAGGTACAGCACCGTCATAAAAGAGGTGACAGTAACAGCTGAACTCTCTGTTAAAATACTGTATATTATTTATTTCAAACTGTTTGGGTATATAGGCTTTTTCCTGGAATTTTATTACCTTTTATTGGAGGCCATTTCAGGATTTTATTACTTTTCTCTCTGATTTTGTTTATGTGTCAGAGACTTGAGAATAAGGGAATTGCTTAGTTGTCATCTCCAGTGAGGTTTTTAGAAGATGTTGCTGAGTTTACGACTCTGCCTCAGAACTGGAGGAAGAACAGACTAGTCAGTAGCGCTCTGGACTGGAACTGATATTTTTTGTTTGTTTGTTTCTCCCCCTACTTTCTGTCTGGCTTTGGGCAAATCACTTGTCTGTGCCTTGAGTCTGTAGTGGCGAAGATAGCACTTGCCTGTCGCGTTGAGGATGTGAAAAACTGAGGTTCAGGAACTGTAGTAATGGACACCAATGTAGTGGTCATCATTCAGAGAGGGGAGGGAATCCAGAACTTGCTGGAACGGAAAAAAAACCTGCCCTGCCAGGAGGATGTGCCAGTGCCTAAGTAAATGCTGAGAGGTGCAGGCAAGCTGGAAATCCAGTGCCGTTGGCAAAACGGGCTTTTTGCTATCTCTGAGTGTAGGCTCAAGAATATAATCCCATTTTTGCATGACGTCTTTCAAATACTGTGGAACGTGATGCCACAAATCTGCCCTGAACACGGGAGTTTTTGCCTGCAGCTTCCTGGCGCACGGAGCGGTGTGATGGCTCTGACTCGGTGCTACCAGCGTCACTCTCTCTGTCTCTCTGGGACGTAACAGCCCCTCGGTCATCAGGGCCAGGACCCCTTGCCTTCTGTGGTTGACGTTTGCTCGTTCTTCCTTACGCCGCACTTTCAGTCAGTTGAGTACAGGGCTTTCCCACGGGTCGGGGCAGGTTAATGGGGCAGAGCTTTGGGCAGGAATAGGCAGGAATTCCTGTCTTGCCAAAGAAATTCCGCTTACTTGGCCTGCGTGGAGTTAGAGCTTAGTCCTGCTGTCTGTGGAGGTGAGTTCCGTTCTGTTGTTACTGCTACAGAGGGAGGCTGCAAATGTGATTCACCTTACGAGATTTACAATCAGTTAAGAATATTTGGCTGGAACTCCCTGCTGTATAAATGTATTGGTTGGAAAAATTAGCAAAGAGCCATTTTACCACCACTACTGGGGGCAGGGTGGGCGGAATCAGTTGTGGAGTAATGTGTAAGGAGAATCTCAAGGTTTCTTACAGTCTGGACCAGCAGCTGAAGTTGTATGGGGATGGTATGCAGTGCTAACACATCTCTGAGCATCTGTCTGAGCACTCTTCTGAATGTTGTGACCTTCAGCTCTCAGGTGAAGGCTTCATCCAGGGTTTCTAAATTTCCATTTTGGCCACAAATGGAGATGTCTGCAGACGCTTCCCATTTGGAGCTGCCTGGGTCATCTTTGTACGATTCTTGAGTATAATGCGTGCAGGCGACTCTGCATGCAGAAGCAGTGCTAGGAAAGTATTTAATGCATTCTGGCTGTCGTCTTTTTTTTTAGTGCAGCTGATGAACTGTAAATGAGGAGAGCTAAGCATCAAGTGACCAGTCAGCCCCCTGGAGACCATCAGTAATTATTTTGTGGACATAGAATGAGAAACTCTGACTTGAAATACTAATATGGGCTCTTGTCTTTCTGCTGGTTATGGAGAAAAACAGCTTTTGAGGCCCTCCAGGGAAGTAGCAGGAGTGCAGAATCTTTTGCAAAAAATCCCCTCCCCCCCCGGTATTTGCCATGAATTTGCACTGGCATATTCAGCTAAAACTCCCCTTCCTCAGCTCTCGGGCTCGGGTCCCCTCTAATGTTGGATTCCTGGTTTGTTTCTGATGCATTATGAAGTCTTGCAGCAAAAAGAGGGAAGCCAAAACCTTTATTTTCTTCTTTCCAACAAACCCATTGCAAGCCTTTTTAACATATCTTAAAATAGCAAACAGGGCACAAGTTCACTTTATTCCCCTCTTAATGGATGAAATTTAACTACTGTTGCTTGATTTGTATTACTATTGATGTTACTAACGGTCTTTCTGACGCTGGAACAGCCCTTGAATGCCAAATCTAACGAGAGGAAACTGCTGTTGTGTTTTGATGATGGTAGTGGAAAATTAATATTAAAACAGATAAGATTTTTTTTTTTTTTTTAATCCAACTTGGCCAATTTTTGCAGGTTAGATGTTGAACTAAAGAATTGCCAAGCAGGCATTTTCCATACAGATAATGAATTCTCATTTTATTTCCATGTTTGTTTGGTTTTTTAAAACAAGTGGTCCAGTCCACCTCTGAGCACAGGAGAAAACATTTACAGCGCAACATGAATTGTGACTGATTTATAGGACTTAACTGTTGCTAGCCCTTTCTCCTATTTGTCCATGAAATGCGATATATTGTTTTAAAGGCCCGCTAAGATGTTGTAATTTGAATGAATTGCTCACTGGGAGACAGTCAGATGTACAGAAAATTAATTTCAGTTACAGTCACTCATATCCTCTAACACTTTAAATGAAAACATAGTGTAACTAATAAATATCTCTCAGCATGGGCATGCTCTCTTTAAAGCCTGATTAATGATTCCGTCCTCAGCATAAAATCCCCACCCTGTTAAGGTGAAGAACTGTTAGTTGATTTAAGCACTTCACCTGCCTGAACACTTGAGCATATTTCATAAAGCATTTGATGAATGCTGTTTAGTTTTGCTTGGCTAACAAAATGTTCAACCAGCAGCCTTTGCCCACCTCCAGAACATACCTGTGTTCCCTCCCTGGCGTCTGCTTAAATACCCGGTCCGTGATGGGCTTCCTTTGCACTGCGCTGTGCCCTGTGTTACAGGGACTTGCTGTGATAACTGCTTTCCAGGGGCTGTTGCATTTGGAGCTGTGGTTCTGCTCTGGATTCTGGCTCCTGCGGTCTTTCATCATCCCTGTGGGATATATAGCACTTTCATTAAAAAAAAAAAAAGAAAAGTAAAAAAAAAAAAAATCCATGTTTTGTGTAAATTCATTCCCTATCACTATAATATTTTCTTTTCAGTTAGATTCATTTTACCAGCGTTGCCTGTGGGCTAAGGGCTTTATTTTCTATGAAAAAGGGGCACTGATAGCAGCCAAATCTGGTGGGTCCTGGCCTGTATTCCCTGGCTCTTCCAGGCAGGCACAGAGGCACATTCACTTACGCATTCTCCTGAGCTGACTTCAACAACATACGTATGTTACCCAAATCTCAACCTGCTAATTGCTCCGTTCCTGAGGCAAGTGTCGGCGCTGGCCTCATCGCAGGAACGTGGTTGTGCCTTTGGAGCCGTGGGCAGGCGTAGCCTCTGTCAGTCCTCCGTGTTCCCCTTTGTGAGCGAGCTTACGGAGCAGATACGGCTGCTAGACTTCCCTGCGGTGAGAGGAAGGGCTTTTTATTTGTCCCATCAGTACACCACCCTATGGAAAACTGCCTGAATCCCACTAGCACCGTGTCCATTTTACACTGGCTATAAGATTTTTTTTTTCCATATATCTATCCACCAATTCTGGCTTGTTCCCTTGCTTTCTTGTGTTTCCCTACTGCCCCATTTTAATTTCTGGCTTGCTTCTGACAGACTGGTTCATCTCTAGCACTCAGGCCTTGACTTGTCTCTCCCCCCTGTGCTTCCTAGGCAGCCGGATGCCTCGGAGCAAATTCAGAAGCTGCTTGGCATTCCTTTGCTCTGAGTTCGTCCCCTTGTCTTCCAGAGGACCTTGAAAATAATTAAGCAAATGCTGTTTACTTGAGCTTTGTGCGGAAGCAGGTGAATTTCAGCCTTAATGAATAATCATCTCTGTAGAAACCCTAATCAACAGAATTTTTCTTGATACTGGTGGAGGATGAGGCATTTGGCTGGGTAATAAACATAATATTAAGTGAGAAATCACTTGCTGGTTATCCCTGTTGGGTAATGCATGCAAAAGGAATGAGCCGCATAACAAAATTGCTTCCCTTGCATCACGCAAAGAAAACGCAGGGATGCAGAGGTGCTAATAACTGCGAGAGCGCTAAAATGAGGGTAAGATGACATTGAGTTGTGTCAGTTCTTTTCCCTTGAAAACCTTTCCTCTGGCACAAGAACAAAATTACCCTGAAACCATTAGAACCCAGTATTTCCTTATGCGTGTCCCCTTCCCTTTGCTTCATTCTAACAGAAGGTAATTTCTTTTCTTTAGGTGAAATTTGGAACCTGTAACACTCCCAAGCCAGGCTTCTTTGATTTTGAGGGAAAGCAGAAATGGTAAGAGGAAATCCTTGTAATTTCGAGCAATTTCTGGCTCTAGTTTTTGTTTCATTTTGTCTCATCGCTTGACAGGTTATGGACCTAGAGCATGTCAGCTCTGAGAGTCTGCCACTGAACTGGCTTTAAAATCCTTTGTTTAATAGGGAAATGTTTGCTGCTGTGCCTGATGCAGACATGAAATACCAGACTCCTGTATTTACCTTGTTCATCCAGAATTAGCCTGCGTACAACAAAAATTTTGCGATAATAGCTACAGCTTTACAAACAGCTTTATTTTGTGAACACAAACTATGTTCCAGCCTGGATCAGGATCCCCTGAAAGATCCTTTCAGAGCAGAGTGCCGCACTGGCAGTGGCCATTCATGGCTTCAGAGAAAAGTTGACGGTTTCAAACTGAATGAAAGATGGCTTTGCACCCCTGAAAGTATTTAGATGAATCTGTTCACTGTGTTCCGCTGATGACACTATGAAAACACATTGTGCTGTCTCCGAGTGGCTTGCTGATGTTTTGCTCTCTCTCCTAGGGAGGCTTGGAAAGCCCTGGGAGACACCAGCCCTCATCAAGCTATGCAGGAGTATGTTGCTACAGTGAAAAAACTGGACCCCAGTTGGAATCCACAGGTAGGAAACATGAAAATATTGTTCAGAAAACAAACAGCATTTGTGTCTTCGTAAAGCTAACGGTGGTTCAGCTTCATACAGATGTTAATTGCTGCATGGCAGACTTCATTTTTGAGCAGATTGCAGTCTAAATTCGCTTTTAAACCTCCCCTTTTGTTATGTCTGAAACATTGAAGAACCATCTCTTTCATTCATAATTATCTTCATTACAGTGAGCGCATGCACACGGTTGGTTTGGCTATAGTGATCTAATTTATTTTGCTTTTATTGGTTCATGCTGTATTTAGCATGTAAAGATACTTTTTATCCTTTTCTCATCTTTCTCTTTTCAACTACTATTTAAATGTTGATCAATACAAAGTAATCTCCATGAAAGTGACATGAACTGCATGATCAATTCTAAAAATGTTTCCTTTTTGTTTCGATGCAGCAAATTACAAAATCTGATTATGATTAGGTACTCCAACATAACAAGTGTATTTGTAAGTCCTGTATGTGTGTGTTATAGGGAGACTGCACTGTCATTTTAATTAATCTGTCTTTCATCTACCGGGTTTATTACTTCATTGAATATTTAAGGATATCTCCCTGTTTATAGACTGATTTTTAAAAATTTTTAAATAGGATTGCTCTGTAGAAAAAGTATTGCCTTTGATTGGAGATAGAGTGGAGATATTTCACTAATAGCAAAATGCTGAAGGCATGGTAATTTCTTTTCATGGTAGGAAATTGATTCTTTTCTGGTCCTGCGCTTTGGAAGCAAAATCTTGTGTGAGCACAAGCCTATGAATCAAGAATTTGATTCTCCGTTGTCTTCTGATGCTGTTCTGGAGACTTAAGAGTAATTGCTTTTTCTTCGCTAGTTCATGTTTCATGGCGTTGATCCTGTTTTTGCAGCAAAGAAATATTGTCATTTAGAGGAAACCCTTTTTTAATGCCCTTGGGGAAAATAGTTTTATATGCTGTGCAGTGCAGCTAGCAATATGCTGTGAAGTACAGTTAGCAAAAGCTAACAGCTGCATGCTGTGTAAATTCTTGTCCAATCTAAAATTCTCGTACAGAAATAAAATAATTCAAAAAGAATCCATGTACAATCCTGAATGAAGAAAGTCTCTAGCAGTGTAAAGTGAAACATATGAATATTTATTAAACAATGGGGGGAAAAAAAGCCGAAAACACCTGACACTTTCCTGAATTTTTATGGGTAGAGCTTCTGTTCATAAAAAGACTTCTCATTCATGGTGACAAGCTTAGCTTTGGGTACCCCCTTCACTTTCTTGCCTCAGAGAAATGTTTATTGTCACAGGTGTGACCTTCAGGTTACAAAGCTGTCAGCTAGAAAAGTGGAATAATGTTAGTTTTTTGTTGTTTTTTTTTTTAAAGAAACCATATAGCAAACAAAGAAGGGTTTGCAGCACTGCTCCTCCCCTCTTCCCCTAAGGTGAGGAATGAATGCATGTGAGCGTGTTTCTTCCCATTGCTGTCCTTGCGTGAGCCTGTCCCCAGGACTCAGCAGAAACTGGGTGGTGGGTAATGCTGTTGCACCACCGTGTTTGCTCATTCATGCGTTGTTCCGTCCTCCCTTTTTGAATAGTTGATGCAAGAAGTGTGGGCTTGCAGGAGGAGAGCAATGCTGGAGCTTGAATAGAAGTTTCTGTGAAGATGGCAGGGCTGAGTTGTCAGAGTGGCTTAAAGAAATGTGATTTTTTTTTTTCTTCAGATGCCTTTGTTGCAGTGTTTCAACAGCTGTGCTTCTCTCACTCATGTAACTATGCATGTATTTCTTGATGTTTTTGAAGCCAATGATTTTTTTTTTCCTCTGCGTGGTCTCAGTGCACAGAGCTATAATGCTGAGGAAAATCCACAGGGTGTTACCTGGTTTACTGTCCCTGCACTGCTGGACAGGTGCCACATTTCTTGTCCTAATTCTTTCCTTTTCCTGTGCCTTGCCTATGACTGAGCTAGAAACCTGTTAAGAGATCCGAGCATTTTACATTGAAGGAATATGCTCAGGTGCAGAAAGGCCTAGCAGAGGAAGTTAAATTAGCAGAGAATGTAATTTAAAAGTTAGCATTACTTTCTTTAAAAGAAGTCACCTGTCCTTCCTACTACATCTTCCTTTTAGTTCCACTTTTATATGACCAAAATGCTATCAGGAGTCCTCTTACTCTCATCTGTCTCATGCTGTTCTCTGCACCCCGCCGCCCAAATCCACCTTCTGGAGCCACGAGAGGGAGCCCTGTTCTTTAAAATGATGGAGATGCATGTGTCAGGGGATGGAGATAAAATACCTATTTTAGTCTTCAAATTTCAAATTGGATTTATAGAAAAGATCTGTGGGTACATTACAAGGTGCTTCATCACTGTCATTGCATCTCCTTTACATGCTCATCTGCTGGGTTCCTTTGAATGAATGAAATACTCCTAGTATTTGGTTAAAAGCAGTATAAAGTGCTTGGTACAAATTTGAAAAGTTCGGCTTTCAGATCATTATGAATCATAAATAGTAATTGCAGTACAAGGGTGTTGAATTTCTCATTGTGGAGCTTTGTGAATTTTGCTATTGTAAAGCTTTCTCAATATTACCTACATATTTTCTCTTCAACAGTTCATCTCATCCCTGAAAGTTGTTCTTGTGTGTTATCTTAAATCCTCCTCAGTCTCCTGTTTCATATATTTGCAAAGAGTGTTTAATGTCTTGATCCTTTAGTACTAAATATGCAAAATTTAAAACTTAGAAATGCCTTATTTTCATAAGTTCATTTTTTCCTAGCAGATGTGCTGCTGTTCTGCAGCTTTCAGGCTGTCAGTATTTTTCTTAATAAATAGAATGGAACTAAATGCAGTATTTCTTATGCAGTCCAAATAGATCCACTTCTTCATTCCTTTTTCTTGATTCTTCATTGATTCATTCTTTGATATTGACCTTGCAGTCTCTGTATTAGTACCTTTTCAGCATCAGACTGTAACTGCTATAATTTAGTAATCTTTGCTTGTTTTAGATGAAAAAAAAAAAACCCAAAGTAAAAGCATTCTGTTGCAGTAGGAGCACCCTGGATTTGTGTTCAGAAGCAATGAGAACACCAGCAGCAGCCAAAATCTGACCTGGTGCTTCCTACTCCTGCATGGCGTTTGGAATACCTGCACTTTATTAAGAGACAACTGAACGTGGAGAGGCAGGGGCACAGCTGTTCTCTGCTCTGTGAAGCTGGTATGCAACTTCTGACAGTAGAGGCACATCTGTTGGCTCATCTCCATGGCTCACATTTCCAATGTGTTTTAGTTTCTTCTTCACCCTTGCTGCTAGCAAGTTGTCTGATAGTCATGCCTAATCTTTTCTTTCAGAGCTTAGTCTAAAATCTGGAAAGCAATGATCATACTGCGATTATCTTCAGCAATTTTGTTTGCTAGGAAATCTTTAAAATAGCAGATAACCTAAAGGATGTTGAGGTGAGATCCGTCGTCTTTATATTCATGAAGCTTTAGGAATCTCCTTGCTGTATTTATCCTGAACCCCGAAGTCTGGAACCAACAGTCACAATTGCCTTTCTGGATGCTTTGCAGTTAGGTCTTCCTATGTCGGCATGGGTCTTACTGTGTTTTCTGTTGTAGGTTGTTTTGTTCCTTTTCCCAAGAACAGCTGTTAGGAGGAGGTCAGGACTATACTCTTCCACACTTGTCTCCATTCTCCTCTTGATGCAGTCTTCCTTCGTCATATTCTACCTTTTAGCACATCTTTTGTTTCTTGTTCGTTCTTGTGAGTCATTCCTTTCAGTCTGAAGTTCCAGGCAGTGGAAAGGTAATTGCTTGGACCAGCTCAGCTCTATTTGCATATTTCAGAGACATCACCTGTCCTTCAAGTCTATTCACTCTTCCTCCAGAACAGAGAATAATTTATGAAGCAATTCTTTTGCATTCGCTATTCTTAAATAGAAATGTTTCATGCCATCAACACCTCCCACTGCTTTGAGTCCTCTGGAGAGGTATATGTGTCCCGGCTGCTTCGCTTCTCGTATGTACACCTGTCGTCTTCCTGCTTTACTGGCAGCAAACGGCACGTTGCTTTTGGTGGCTTTTGCCGATGTGTGTGGGAGTTTGGCAATGATGTTCATCTGCTCTCCCTGCCGCTGGTTGCCTACGCGTGCTCATCCCTCTCGCCCCTCTCTCCCGCTGTGGCTCTGCGGTACCCGCTGCTGTGGTGCTATCCTGCAGTCTCAGCCGTGGGTTTGGTGCTCTAGAGAGGTTCACCTTCACAGGCTGGTTGTCTTGCGTCTTTATGCAATAACTTTGTTCTCGTGTACATCACTGTCTCTACTGTATAACTGGGCACTTCTAGTACTTGCAGTTTTTGAGGCAGTCTTAGTGGCTGCATTTCCATTCCCCCACGCACTCTCAAATTCTAATCTCTGTCAGGTATTTGATATCTCAAATCCTCGTTGGCTTTAAGCATCCAGATTTTTCAAACGTCAGATTGACGTGGGAGTTTGTGTCCGCAGGCACTGACCGTCCAGAGGTGGGAGCGGGACAGCACTTCTTTTGCTCAGCAGCATTGTACACATCTCTTCAACTGAGTTCACGTTGTCAGGGATGTGGGTGGAGGTGTGTACACAACACTGCAGTGAGGCGGTTAGGAGCTGTTATTGATTGTTTCTTGTAACAAGACGGTTATATGGCACAGCTTAAACAATAAAAATAAATAATCAAAAAAGCATCCAGGTTTGCTCATCAGTTTTAGCCTTCCATTTGCTGATTGCAGTTTTGGCATCTCTTGATTCTAAATATTTCCTTTTCCTATTTCTTATATTGCACATTTACCAGTTCCAATCTCAACAGCTTGTCACGCTTCTAACTTCAGTGGCATCCTTCCCCAAACACTTGGAGGCCTTCTTTCTATTTGCTTTGACTGCTGAAACTCACAGGAGGACTTAATGATTTTCTATTTCTGTATTAAAAAAAAAAAAAAAAATTGGCATTTTAACTTGTTTGACTCAACTTCACCA